TAAGAGTGGTATGATGCTTTAATGACTTTCATACGAGCGCTGTTGAAGCAGCAAATGGCTTCACGTCAGTTTTTTTTCGGTGATTACTCATTAGTAGAGCCAAAAAAGTGCACTTGCCTGAAGTGATTCATTATAAATAGCTCGAAAAGAGCAATTGCCTGAACTTTTTCCGGGTGATTTTGATCTGAAGAGACCATCATGTTCCTGTAAGGAATTAGATTTGTGGTTTTACTCATACGCCTCATAAAATGTTGCCAGTTTCGGTCCACCTTGCCAGAGAAACGTTTTGGATTCTTGGAAGGCTAAAAAATGATCAAAACATTTTCGGTGTAGTACTGCCATAACTGTGTTCCTGCTTTCCACTTACGTTCGATTTGGGCTACTCCGCATTTCGCAAGTAAAGATATCTACCAATGTTTTCCGCACTCGCAAAATACAAGTCCTACTAGCCTTCTCACTGACTACCCCCCCCCCCCTCACACACAAACAGAGGGTTCTGTATGTTAAGAGTGATATGGTGCTTTTCTGACTTTCATGACTGCCCTGTTTGGTGCATAAGCCATGTTTGGGAAGTCTAACTTGGGTTATGTTGCTCCATGTTAGGTAGCGAAATCCAGTGAAGCTGACCTCGGTACAGATCTGATTCTGAGGGCTTCTGTTGATTAGAGGGGTTACTAGTGACTGTTCTCATTGCATCATATGACTTCCGCTTTTGTCAGACTCGCTTCATGAAAGCATTCGTTAATTCTGCTTGCACTTGGGCAGACGTTGTTTCCACTTCATTTCCTTTTCCTTTTGAACGATTTGAATGTCATGGCTGTTTCAACGAGGAAGCACTGCATTGTTCCTCTATGTGGCTCACTTAGAGCTTTTTATTGCTTAGGACGCTCATCTGTCTGGCTCGTTTTCGGGCATGTTGCCTCACGCTCCTTTCGTATTCATTTACAGGCACAGTCTAGATTACTTTTTTTCGGTTTTTCAGAACCATGTCTGGCTGGGACGCGTACATTAACACGATGACTGAAGCGTCACCGGCGATCAAGCGGGCTGCGATTGTTGGAAGTGCTGATGGCTCTATCTGGGCTCGCACTCAGGACCCAAACACATTTGCTGCCACTGATGCTGAGTTGAAGAAGTTTGTGTCATTGTTCGATAACCTGAACGACGTCCCAGCGCAAGGTATCGATTACTTTTTATTTGGAAATAAATTTGAGATAGAATAATATAGTTCAACCACGGGTCTCTTTTGAGATGAGAATTCGCAACCTCGGTACCACCTTCCTCATCGCCCCATTTTTTCTTTTCGTTTATGCCCTCTTTTGGTTCTTCCATGTTCCTATTTAATCCCTTTTCTCTGGGCGATTTCAAACGACCCTATACTCGGTGCATATTTGTTCTTGCTTAACACCTCAGCACCATGGTTTTCCCATCTCTGGAACACATCGCTGCTCTCCGACTTAGGCCCTGTTCAGAGATGTCCGCTTAGGCGAAAAAACGCAAAGGCGAAATAAAATAAAATATGTATCGACTGAGCGACGACGCGTAGGAGAATCGTGAAGTGGGAGGATCGACGAAAATGAGTGTCATACGTATCGACTTCCGAACGCTTCGCTCACGCGATTTTCCGCCTGTGCGTTTCTCACAGTCGATACATATCAAACTCTTGACTGAAATTCGCCTGCTCCGGACGTTTCGCTTACGCGTTTCACAATTTCTCAGTCGATGCGTATCTAAATCTTGGCGGAGATTTTTTATTTCGCCTGTGCGTTTTTTCGCGTAAGCGGACATCTCTGAACAGGGCCTCAGTGCGAGTTCCTTTGTGGGAAACTTCTACAAACAGTTCATAAATTTTTAACGCTGTTGGATTATTACATCAAACAATTAGTTCATTCCATGAAGGTGTCGACCTCGAAGACGTTCACTACATTGTACCACGCACTGAAGATAACCTCATCTTTGGCAAGAAAGACAAGAGCGGATTCTTCGCAGCGAAGACCAAATCCGCGGTACTGATCGCCGTGTATGAGGGCGAGAACCAAGTGTCAGCCCAAGTGCGTGCATCAGTTGAGAAGCTAGCCAAGTATCTTGAGGAGATCGGCTATTAGGTTGCCCCGTAATGGTGAGTGCTCTTCTACGTTATTACTTTCTCTTATATTGAATGGGTTTCACTTTTCATTCTCCAGGAATAAGTTGCCATAGAGAAATTTTGGCCAAAAAAGTGTTCGCATTGTATGTGCAGCTGAGAATAGGCAAGCAAGTTATGTAAAAGTGTTGATATGGCCAGTTGCTGAGTTTCGCGACTTTTTGTAAATCCGATTTGAACTTTTCGATTGCATGTCCTCAAAAACATTTTCTCGAGAAGGTTACATTTTTTGAAATATAGGTTTATCAGCCTCAAGTTCTTACTCTAGGTCGTTTTTGCAAGTATGTTGTTAGCAGTAATATCAGCTTATGTATGCTGCAATTTGCCGGAGTGAGCTATAACTTTTGGGCATTTCTAGCACCACCAACAGATCATTCTGGAAGTTCTCTCTTGACCGATCCCCTTTTTGTGTGATTTGTTGCTAGCGGTTTGTTGATATAAACAGAACATTTACAATGAGCAGCATTTTTTATTTGGGATGAATTGAACAATTTTCTTTTTCCCATGTGAATGGTGTGGACCCATGGACTGTCGAGTTTCACCGAGGTTGCTTGAGGTGATGTAATAGGTACATAAGTAGCATAACATGGTAAATTGGAAAATTGGTTTGGAACAAGATGTGTACGCCTCATTACCATTTTTCTCCGACGAAATTATTTGCGAGCGCCACAAACGGTTAAATAGAGGCAGAGTATTCGGTGTCGCCGAACAATTTTTATCGATTTTTTGAAAAATCTGGGTTTGTAGTGGATTTGTTGCGGCGTTTGCATAATCCGAAATTATTCGCAGCGCCGTCACCGCAGGAGGGGTCTCGAGCAAATTTTGAAAGTGTTTTGCTAAGTCTATGCCTCCATTATAAAATGCTTTGGTGAGTTATTGTTCAGATATTTTGTCTTTTTTGTGATGTTTTGATGTTGTATTGAGGTTTGAATTTGTTGTTTCAGATCTGCCTTGATGGTTAGCCAACCATCGTACTTCATGCGTGTTGTCTTCAAAATTCCAACAGCTTCACTCCACCGATACCATTCCTTATTTGAATAACGTTTAAGATGCTAGATTGATTGCGGCTCATATTGTCTTCCTCGCACCTCATCTAATTTCGCATGCTATTTTCGCCTTCCTGCATAAGTATTGTGTTCTGTATTAATTTTAGATGTTCATCAGCTGGTGCAAATTCCGGTGTGTTTTCTATTCAAAAAGAAACGCGGTGATTGTGGTTTTATAAAGGTTGCACGTACATGTATGATGGAACACATGGCATGGTGGTGGATTCAGAGGTGATGGTACTTGCTAAATTTCAGCATTGAGAGGATCACATTAGAGTGGGTTTGCGAGGTGAATCGATTGCTCGATGAAATATCGTGTTGAGATGACTAGTCTAGTGCGCGGTTGGCGTGTTCATCGTGGTCGATTCGTCGGCCAGAATTATGCGTGATGAGTCATGACGAATTTGGGCACGGGTGTGCAGTGACATTTTTCATTTGGGTGCTGGTTTTTTTGCCCTGGTATCATTTGGCGAAGTCCAGATGGAAAAATTAGGTGGAACCTTTCATTTTATGTCTGGTTGGTAGTTCAACTGTAGGAGCAACATAATAGAAGTGCTGAAGATGGGCAAAACGCTTTGGTCTAGTCAGTAATTAAACCCGCTCACCATGTTTGCTAGTTGGGAGTGCTGCCATTCATTACTGTAATATTACTGCAATGGCAGTATTCCTCTCCATCAAGCAGGGCGGTGGGGTTCGATGTCAGCTGAGACAGAGTGTTTCGTCCATAAGTGAGCTTCTTTGTAATAAGTTTCGCATCGAATCGCAGTCTGACAAATCGGGGGGGGGAGTAAATACGATTGCGACCTTGGGTTCATACAGAGAGGTAAAGGTTTTTCTGCGATCAATTGGGAAGGGGTGCTATTGGGGCCGGACTTGGTAAGACCAGGTAACAACCTCTAATAATGTGGGAGAGGGGGTGGGGGAGGACAGGTTTCTCATCGTGTCGATTTTCTAGCAACTTGACCCGGATTCCCCTACCAGCCCCATTCACTCGTTTCGCAATTGTCTAAGGATCGGAGACCTGGGCCATATGCTACCTTCCCGCAGGGAAAGCCCTGACATTTAATACAAATACTCCCACAGATTCCTGCGGCAAACATTAAAGGGTGGTTTGATTTCGTCAGCTGATCAGCATTTTTATTTCATGAAGTCATGAATTACTGAGGAGATGGTATTTTGGTAGGTGGCGGCGTATGCCATGCACGCGATCCGTTGATCAGTATCCGGATCGTACTCTATCCAGCCCAATCGAACTTTCATCCCTCCGTGGTCTGATCGGGACCGAGCTATCTAGGGCTCTCAATACCAGCTACAACGGCTGGAACAAACATGTCACCGCGTGAGCCGCTTTTAAATTCCCCTACGATTCTAAGCAGAAGCTTTGTGATCAATAATTTTGTAGCATGCGCATGCTACAAAATTATTGGTCACAAAGCAGCACCCCAGACTGAATTTGTAGGGTCATAGCGGTTGATAGTGAAGTTGTGGATGCCGAATTGACCAAAAATGAAAAAAAAGAAGCAAAGAAAACCGTGGATGAAGCTCCAAACAAAAATTCCCCTGAAAAAGGAAGGGGCGGGGCCAGACGAGTTGTACGAGCTTGAACACTCCACGCTGAACTACCGGCGCGTATTTGAATTAGCCGCTACGCCGTAATCCACGTTGCGTGTCATGGGGTGTGCGCGACGTAACTCGTCCAAATGCTAAGATTAGTCGCCAAATGCTGACTTTGTAAGACCCTAGCGCCATTGTCGCGCACTTTCGAGCCGCGACAACGGCACATCTGTGCTACTCGTGGGCTACTCTATCCCACCCACTGAATAATTCCCCAAGACGACTTCTGCTGGGAGTGTTGGTTTTAAGCAATGACTCGCAATGGTCCTGGAGATCTGCTCTGCAGAAGGGTGTCGGTGGACTAAGTAGGTGTAAACTCCCCCGACCACCCTGACGCTACCATAGTTTTTCATGGCTTTGGCAACAAATCACGGGAAGCTCTTCTTTGTACCAAGACAACTTATCCGAGTATAATACGGCTAGGCTTTGAAACCTTGAGAATGGGTATTCTTAGCGTTCGCACTAGCTCCGTCATTTCTGGCCATTCCACGACTCAGGCTACGTTGGCGTTGGGATATAGCAACAAACGCTGTTCATAATCAAGAGCCAGAGCTAGAAGATAGAAATTTGCCACTAACAGCTAATGAAAAAACTCTGCTTTGAAATTCCAATTGTAAGAATGCTGTCTGTACGTTAAGTTTTGATGACTCCGGCGATTTGGCATACAGCCCTTATGACTGGTGCAGGTAACTGGAGACACCACTCTGTTACCTTCACCTCATCTACTCCATCCTTCTTTGTGGTAACATAAAGGGTCCTTATTTGCTCTTTAAGATTTCTACTACTAACAAAAAACGTTCTGTCTGCAATTCTCTTTACTGCCGATAGTGCTCCTTTCTTCTAGATGGTAATATGGCAATCCTCCAGCTTGGCAGGAACAAATTATCACTGTATCGCCTTTCGTACCGTTGATCATCGAATTGCTCCAG